TGAGCTCCCAGGCAGCTGAAGGCAGAGTGCTAGCAGGTGGCTGGAAAGCCTGGAGCCAGGAGGGAGGAGCTGCCTGGCTCCTAAATGGGAACATCTAGCTTAAAGCTGATGACTGTAATACAGATGAGATGATCACCTGGGGAGCAAGGACATCAGCTGGAGGATCTGGCCAGGGCAGCCAGGAGCAGGGGGTAGGGCTGCTACAGCTTGGGACAGGGCAGGGCGAGGCTGCAAGCTGAGCTTACATCCCATAAGCTGGTACTGTAAGAAAAAGCAATAGCTTCCATTTCTATTGGTCCTGAGCCCTATCTTATTTCACTTTTGTACCTGCTGCCTCTTGTCTTCTGACCATGCAGCACATTGGAGACGTGGCTCTGTCTCCTTGATAAGCTCCATGCTGGTATTGGTGCACCGATGCCTCCAGAAGATGGCATTTCTCCCACAAGAATAGCTGTCATCCCTAAGTAGTTTTAGTGTTCTTTGTAGTGTTGCTTCAGATGGACTTAGCTCATACAGTGGGAGGTAGTTAACAGAAGAAACACAAAAGCTTAAAAGCACCAGAAAACAAAAATCTAGAAACCTGATGTGTCTGTTGGCTTGAATTATTAATGTGTGGAAGAAAAGCATGATGTGAAAGTGGGCAATTTGTCGTGTATGAATCAAACTTTTTAAGACTTCTCTCATTAATAATTTCCAAAGTATTTATTATCCTCAGACACCGGTTTTGTATATCTGTCTATATGACTCACTGAATTACTTCATTCTCTGTCACTATTTTCTTGCCTCAAAAGCTTCCAAAGAAGATGACAATAGCAGCTTATGCCATAGTCTGCATCGATTTAGGTCTCTGTAGAAGGAATGAAGAGATTTTTTGTGAGTACTGTATGCCATAGAGCACCAGCATCCTGAAGGCAATTCTTACCTTAGCTTGGCAGTGATTTCTTCCCTTGGCTTCTGTGTGTTCAGTAACACACCCCTAGGTTCACTACAGGCTGCAGCAGCAGCCCTGGGCTCCACCAGCCATGGCATGGATGCTGGTGCGATGGGAATGATAGTGAAGAGCCTAGAGAGTTATAGGTCAAAGCTCTGTTGAATATTAACCTGTTGTTTCTTGTATGCTTCTGGGGATGAGGAGCATCCATTGACAGTGAACTCGTGGAGTACCTAAACCATGAATTTTACTCAAGAGAAGTTTTAGTTAATGGAACTTCTGCAGAGTGAGGCAGTTGCCCATTAACCTTCAGTTTAACCCAAAGGGAGAACTCAGTAACTATTTGTCAGTAACTTACCTGGATCTGCTTCTCACAGAAGGATTCGTTCCCTGTTAGGTTCTTGTGCAATGTGTCAGAGATGGAGATGAATTTTGTTCTTTCCTGTAAAGACATGTAGGAATGCTGCTTCTCTGTTTCCAGTAGGCATCTGGATTCTGAGCTGCATTCTCTGCTGACAGGGGCACTTCACTGTCCAAAGATAAGCCTGTCTTATCCTGCCATCACGTGGGATAAAGATACACGTTTTATTGATTATATTTTAAAAAGAGATCAATTCATACTGCATAGAGTCATAAAAAGCTCTCTTGATCCTGGCATAAAATGTCTGAGAGTGAGTCTGGGCTTTGAGATGGCTGCTGTGCTGCCGGCAGCTCTGCTGTTAGCTGCTGGGGTCCATTCCTGTGTGCTGGCAGCTGGGTTCAGACAGCACACTGTGAAGGATCCCATCCTGGGAGGGAGCGCTGGTGCTCAGGTGGCTGCAGCTGTTTCTCAGGTTCAAAGCAGCGATGGACCTTCTTGTCCTTGTATCAAATCAATCAGCAGGAACGGCTGAATGACAGGAAGCAGTTATTCTGCTCTAACGTGGAATGGTGTCCCTTGGATTATCCTCCCTAAACTAATGTTGTTGCTTTTGCATTGGTCTGGAGAAGACATTTCCAGTGAAGGAGGAGCATTGATTGTCTGCTGTGTTTTACCATGCTGCGTCCACTAACGTCTGTCTAACTTCTGGTTACAGTACAGCATTATTATTATTATTTTAACCTAAAAGCTTAGTTTGTTAATACTGTTAACGCCAATGCACTGTGTCAATCAAAGGACAGGTCTGAAATACCTGTACAGCTGTGAGGACGAGTCTTGCAGGGGGAGGGAATGCTTTTTGTTCAGAGTGTTGAATCCCTGCCTCCTGCAATTTTAAATGTGCACTGAGTGCTGCGGAGAGCATTTCTGCACCTGTTCAGAAAGTGAAGTCTGATGCTGTTTGGGATCTTAGCGGAGCAGCAGTGTTTTGGTTGGCTGATTGGATGCTGGTGAGGAGCTGCAGAGAGATTAAATGCAAAAGATCCTTGCAGCAGCAATGAGTTATAATGTTCCTTTATGGAGGCTGCACTCATCTTGGCATTAGCTTAGTAACAAAACCAGACTTTTCACTTCTAGGAGTCATTAAATGGTTTAGAACAACTTCAGGTCCACACACATGATTTGCTTTTACATAGTACAGCAGTATTTGATTTTCTGTAGTGGTTCCACAGTCAGTCTCTTTCACCTGTTCAAATACGGGTTGGTTAACCTGGCAGGAATAATATGTTGAATAAATTAGAAGGGGGGAAAAAAGAGATGAAGAGGCCAAAACCCATACAGTAAACCCAGAGGGTGCTTAAGCCTGACAGATGCAGCCTGGTAGAACTGAAGCTGAATGTCTATCACTTTTTCCAGCTCTTTCAGAAGCACGCTTGCTCCATTTGCCTAAAGTTGCTAGGATTCGGTGTGTCCCAGGTTGCTGCATCTTTATTCAGAACTGTGCCCTCAGAAAAGGGTTATGTTTAGATTTCTGTGGCTGGAGCATTTTGCCTCAGCAGAGCAGGAAAACACTTCTTATTTGTACTTGTTGATTAGGTTTTTTTTCCCCCTTGCTCTTGGGCAGGAAGCTTGCAGGTTGTTCTGCGAACTTACAAGAGTCTCAGTTGCTGGACTCAGCAAGACTGGTATTGCAATACATCTGTAAGGCTATGTAAGACTGCAGGAGATCACAATCATTTTCTTGTTGTGAGAGGTGGGGATGCCATCCCTGAGTGCAGTGACAGGCCAGTGCGACTGGTGGAAGGGATGGTTTTAATCCTTCAGTATTTAAATTAATAAATAAGCCTCCAGGTCTATCTAACATTAAGTGGTTTTGTTCTCTCTGAAGCTTTACTCGCAGTTGCTTCTCTTTCTCAGTCACATAGGTCAGCGAGGTTTTCTCATGTGCTTTGCAAAAGCACTTGGAACTTGGTATTTCACAGTGTTTTGTTGTTCAATGTGTAACTCTTCAAAAGGCTTCCGGACCTTTGTTGGTTTCACAACAGTTCAAAAAAGAAAATCTGAGGTAAAAGGTGGGGGCTGAGAGAGAATAAGTTTAATTGTTGCTTTCATTTTTGCTTTTATTTATGAAAAAGACTTTATCCTAAGCAAGATAGGGAGGAGTGGTCAACATTAAATCACAGAATGGTTTGGGCTGGAAGGGACCTTTTAAAGATCATCTGTGTGTAGTCCAACCTCTGCTATGGGCTGGGTCATCTTCTATAAAGTATTCAAATAGATGGAAACAGATTTAAAGCCAACAAGCCCTCTGTCAGCAGTTTGCAGGTTGATGGACTGTAGGTAAAGTTGTTGTTCAGGTTATGCCTGGCATCTGAAATTCATTAGTGTTTTCAGTAGGTACCTGAATAGTTGAAGAGTGCAGGTATATCATTAATCTTTGGATAACTGAGTTCTAGGTACTGTCACAAACACTTTGAAGAACAAGATTAGGATTTGAAGTGATTGTGACAAATTGCTGAAATGGTCTGAAATAAATAGGCTGTAACTCAATAAAGACACCTGCACGATATTTAAAGTAATTAACCGCACAAACAGAAGTTCTGCAGGAAGGATCTGAGGGTTTGGGAGATGGGCAAACCGAGGCTGTCACCAGAGGTTCATGGCTGGGAGGGGAAAAAAGCAAATTCTGCATGGGATGTGCAACCAGGATTGGCTTGTGCAGGAGTGAGGTGCACTCCATTTCCCCTCCAAATAGCAATGGCTGAGGTGTCAGCTGGAGTACTGCCTGCAGCTTTGGGCATCCCTCTTTAGGAAAGAGAGAACAGCAGGAGCAGGTCTGAAGGAGGGAGGTCTGTGAGCCCAGCTGGTGTCCAGAGAAGGTGATACGTGATGTTGTTTTACATGTGCCATCAGCTCTTTTGTCAGAGAGCTGCTTATTCACGTGGACCATGAAGTGCTGATGGGACAAATGGGATTCACTCCAATGCTTAAAAAGTCAGCGAGCAGGTAATGGATGCAAACAGCACAGCAGGACTTTGAGTTCAGCTCTCAAGGAAGTCTCACTGGTAGCAAAGAAATTTGAGACTGAAATAGTCTGTCTGGCTTATTTTATCTACTTTTCTTTTTCTTGGAGGCACAAAGCTGGATAATCATTCTTTTCTTAAACTTATTAAGTCCTCACTTACACTGTTTCTTTTTTGTCCTGTTTTCCTATCGGAGGTTGTTCCAAAAATGAGTTTTCTTCTACCGGCCAAGACTCAGATCTTAATAAATGTTTTTGTGGCAGGCTTCAGCCCGCCTGGTTTTGTGCCAGTACTGTCCTGTGCTTTCAATGGTTGCTAATTCCTTCTCCTTGGGATTTACTCCCCAGCTGCTCACCGCTCTCCCCTTATTTTGTCTGTACGTTTTGGAAATCAGATGTTACTGTGCTCTCCTCTTTCATACAGAAGCATTATAGATTCGTTCTTAACCATTGCTGTGCTGCTGCTTTACAAGTGGGGTCAAAAAAGCAGCACCTGGGACTTGCAATTTCACTGCTAGTTCTTTGTAATTCCTTTTCTGTATCAGACGCCCTCTGAGCGTTCTCTGTTCCACAGCTGTATTACCTTCAGCTTCCTTTCCCTGCTACTACTGCTACAGTCAACATTGCTATCTTTATGGCCAACGAAGGAGATTCTGTATCTAATGTGGGGTTATAGCAAGTTTGTAATCTCTGCTGTTGCGGTTTGCTCTAAGGAGGCTATCTGCAGCCCGGGATCTAATCTCTGCTGTTTGCTGTATTTCTTCCAAGCTTCCTTTGGTTGGGCTTCTTGCTGTAGCTTTACTGACTTCTGGCACGGATTGCCGTTAGAACCTCTTGGTGCGCATTCAGATCTGATAGTGGGGAAATTTCTGCTCCGAAGAAGGGCGGAGCGCCGGCCCAGCTGCGCGGGGTGCGGGTCGCCGTCCGCGGGGCCGCGGATGTGGCACTGAGGCACCCGAGGGCGGGACGGCCGCTAAGTAGGTCAGCGGGGCCGGGAGCGCCGCCCGGCTGCCTGCGTGTCCCCCTCGTTCGCTTCAGGACTGAACTTTCTCCTCAGCCCCTCGCCGGCCCGGAGAAATTCAGCCTAAATACACAGCGACTCCCCGCTCCGAGTCTCCCCGCCTCGCGCCTGAGGAGGGGCGGGGCGGGGGAGGCTCGGGCAGCGGGCGGAGCGGCCAGCCGGCCTGACTTCCAGCGCTGCTGGAGCGGAGCGGGGCTGCGAGTGTAAGAGCTGCCCGCACGGTGCTGGCGGAGCGGGGCTGCGAGTGTAACAACTGCCCGCGGTGCTGGCGGAGCGGGGCTGTGAGTGGAACTGTTCGTGCGGTGGTTGCGGGGCGGGGCGGGCAGCGCGCCTCTGTGAGGGAGCGGGCGGGTCGTGAGGGAGCGGGCGGCAACGAGTTTCTGTACATTGGTCTGCGTTCGAATTTGAAGTTTTTCCTTGGTGAATTGTTGTCGCTCACGGCTTTGATGTTGCAGCTTTTAGTCGCCTTTGTAAAAAAGAAAAAAAAAACGGGGCAGCCTGTCCGGGCTGCACCGCTCTCCTCTTGTTGCCGCTCGCAGCGGACCGATGCTCAGACCCGCCCGGTGTACGTGTGGTTTAGAAGGGAGAAATGCAGCAATGGAAGCTGTCGGGACAAGAGGCTGAAAAAAGGGGCGGCTACAGAGGGAAAGGGCGAACGCCGTGTGCCTGTGAGCGGGGCTGGCGGCCGCAGCCGTGCTGCACGGGTTGCCGCGCTGTGCCGCCTCTCGGCAGCCCGTAGCAAACGATGTTGGGTTTGTTACTTGCTGGTCGATGTTTGCTGGTTTGTGTTTGATGGGCTGCTGTTGTCAAGGTAGGAACTCTCCTTACTGAAGGCTTTGCACATCGGTTAGTGTAGAAATCACAGAATCACAGCATGGCCTGGGTTGCAAAGGAGCACAACGCTCATCAGTTCCAACCCCCTGCTGTGTGCAGGTCACCAACCAGCAGCCCAGGCTGCCCAGAGCCACATCCAGCCTGGCCTTGGATGCCTGCAGGGATGGGGCATCCACAGCCTCCTTGGGCAGCCTGTGCCTCACCACCCTGTGTGAAAAACTTCCTCCTCATATCCAACCTAATCCTCCCCTGTCTCACTTTAAACCATTCCCCCTTGTCCTGTCACCATCCACCCTCATAACCAGTGCTACTCCCTCCTCTTTTATACGCTCCCTTCAAATACGCGTGGAGAGGAAGAGTATGGCACTGGAAAACTGCTATGCAGCATCAGCAAAGCTGGTGGTTTCAGAATGCAGTGTTTTAAGGCTTGCATTGCTTTTTGGTCCCGTGCAGCACTGATTCTTAGTTATGAATACTGTTGAAGCCAGAGTTTAACAATGTGTTTGTGATACCAACTCTGATCAGTGCAGTAGAAGCAGAAAAAATGTCTCGAGCTGATCCAGGCTACGTTTTTGTCTTCTGGCCCATATGTTATGGTTAAATTAGTGCTGATAGTAGAATCTTTTTGATTGCTTTATCTGGATGTTTATGTGGCAGAGAGGGTAGCAATGCAGTGCACTTCTCCGAGGTGCATGTTGTTTTGGACATCTGTAGTTGCTTCCTTTTCAGTCTCTGGTAGGTACAGTAGGGTTGAAATTAAAACAAGCTGCTATTGACGCAATTAACCAATTGCTTTCTTAAATCAGGGGCAAAGTAGAGATGATGGTGTTTCACTCATGCTTCACATTCTTCTTTGCAATGGTACAATGAATTATCAGTGTTACCAGAACAGTGGTTCTTTAAGCATCTAAGAGCAAGGGTCAGGATATCTGGGCTGCAGCTTTGCCTTCTTCCAGTGCTTACAATGGGAGGACAACCGATGGACCAAAATTTGATGAGTTAGTTAGAGCTTTCATTGGTGGACATTTTTTGCTTGTATTCAAAATGAGAGCTCTAATGAGATAGGAGATATATGAGATGTGAAGTCCATGACATACTGATAACTTTATAACCTTTTGATGTATATACATCTGATTTTCTTGGACAACATACAAAAATGATCTCAGTTTGCTACTGAGAAGTGGTTGAGCTGTGAATTACAAATTTTTGTTGCACCTGTAAAAGAGAAGAAAATGGACGAGCTTTAATTAAACCATAGGCTTAATCATATGAACAGTGGGTCCTTATGCTAAGTAAATAGTTCTGAACAGTAATTTTTCTTCTTCCAGTCAGAAACTTGGGGGGGGGAAAAAAAAAGATAGGTTCTATTGTAGGCTTTTGGAAATAATCACAGCCTGTATCTTTGTGAAATGGCAGACGTAATGAAGGCTGTAGCCAGCACAGTTCCTCTGGCCTTCGTGGCTCTCTTATTAGGAAATAGACTGATGGAAGATGTACAGGTAAGGCTGGGCTGATAACAGCACACTTTCCTCTGCAGTAGGGGGTTGCGAAGCACTGCCTTCGAAATTTTGAGCTTTCCTCTGTAATTGAGCAAAATGTAGCTGAAAATGTAGCCTGATCACCTGACTGAACGGTGGACGGGCCTGCATCATCTCACAGACCAACATGGAGCTGCTTGGTGCTGAAGAAATGGCTTGGCTCCGGCTGCAGTTATGTTTCCAAGGGCTCAGATTCACAGTAGTGCCTTTCACACTACCAAGCCTGGTAGGTGAGCAATAGTCAGCCTGCAGGAGTGAAGTACTACCTGGTGTTAATGATGGAAGAGGAGCTGCGCTGGTGGTTAATTGATATACTAAGCAATGTTAATGAGTTATGTTCTCAAATGACGTTCTGATTTGTTGTTGCTTTTGTTATAAATATGTGAATAATCAAGTAAATGAAGTTTGCTGTAATGAAATCCTAATGATAATTATCATCCTCAGTTGGTTTTCTTTGTTATTTTCAGGCCAGCTCTTCAAAACAAGATGCGTCTTCAAATCATTCTGACCGTGTCTGTGCTCTTGGGTAAGTTACTGCCAACAGTGTGCAAAGTAAGTGCTGACAATAGTGTGGAATGAAGAGTTATCTCTGCTTTTGTTTTGCAGAGCTGTTTCAAATCACCATGCTGCATTAGTATCACAGTATGCAACTAGAACATGTAGAGGCCCTGGTTTATCATTGAGCAGGATTGAAATGTTGGTACTCTCAAAGTCGTGCCTTTGTGTCTTATCCCTGAAAGCTGTGCAGTTGATGGGTAAGATCAGAAAACATCAATAGAATGAGTCTGGTGAGTCAGGACGAGTTCAGATAAATGCCTCAGTTGAACTTGGCAGAAGGGCACGTTGTTCTGTGACCTTAGCAAGTACAAGTGCAGAAAGGAAAATCCAAGTTCCATCAGGAGTGCAACATTTGTTCAGCTCAGTGTAGCCAAGGTGTCACTTTGAGTTTGAGCTCTGCTTTTCTAGGTGACTGGTGTTCTTGCTTTCGTGAGCACTGTGTTGTTAAAGTTGCTCAATCCACTGTCAGTGTTGATGAGAATAAGAAGCTGTTCTTCTGACTGAGGAATGTCCATACCAGTATTGGTGTGTGCTGTTCAGGGACAGCTGGTATTTTGATATTTGTCTTTTCTTTTTTTTTTTTTTAAATTTTAAATTGAAAAAGGAGCCATTTGATAGAATCCCAGCATGGCCTGGGTTGCAAAGGAGCACAACGCTCATCACTTCCAACCCCTGCTGTGTGCAGGTCACCAACCAGCAGCCCAGGCTGCCCAGAGCCACATCCAGCCTGGCCTTGGATGCCTGCAGGGATGGGGCATCCACAGCCTCCTTGGGCAGCCTGTGCCACTGCCTCACCACCCTCTGGCTGAAAATGATGATGCTTATAGAGAAAGCAGGTGCTGCAATCTGATGATGTCAGTTTCAAAATTCTTCATGAAATTGAAGAGCTCCTTAGACAGTATCCATACCTTTATTCAATCAGTATTCAATATTGTCTTGCTGACCAATTCATCTTTTAAATACCTTACGTCATCTAAAGATGTTCTGTACCTTTTAATTGAAAACCTGGATGCCTCAGGGAGTTTTCATTTGGTTTCAGAGCTGTTTGTCACTGACTGGTGGCCTGTAATGATGGCACGTTGGTGTATCTATTGACTGGCCATCTCCTGTGTCCAAATGAAAAATAGCCATGGTTGGCATCTTTATAGCCCTCCTAACCCAGGCATGCCACTAACTGAGCAGCTAAATGGTATGTGGTGGCCTCATGTGCATCCATGGTGTGGAGAACTGATGGTATCTGTAGCAGGAAAGCATTTTATTAACAGGCAGTTAAGAGCTGTAGCAATCCTATGCTGACCATTCTGTACTGTAGTTTGTCACAGATCTTTGTTTTGTTTTTAATACACCTGCAGAAATAGTAAGTAACTGCATACGTTTTGACGTGGTGGGATGTACTTAATCCTGTGCCATGTGTGCTCCGAGAGGGGAGAGCCTGCTTTTAGGAAAAAAAGTGACTTGGCAGGAATCTCTCCTAGTCCTCAGTTGACTGTGTGACTTGGGAAGTATGTTAGTTAACTGGCCTGTTTTATAGGCAGTCGTGTCACTTGTTCATTTTAATCATGTACTATGGACTAATAATCTGTGTGCTCAACTGGATCCTCCACATGGAGCCGGGAGCCTGATGAAGCTGGTATTTGTGGAGGCACAAACCCTGTTAAAGGAGAGAGATGAGCAGAGCCCTTCAGGAGCCTGGTTGCAAAACCCATGCAAAGAGAAAATGGAACACTTCAGCGTGCTGCACAGTAACAGGGTGCCTGCTTCTGATGTTGCACGCACCTGCTCTTAACAAGCTTTCATTTTGTTTTTTTACATTATTCAACTTATACTCTGTTAGACAGGGAACTTCTGTTTTTCTTATTTTAGATATTGCAGGCACACAGCATGAATTAACTTCTGCCTAATGAGTGGTTTAAAATATTTATGCCTTGCCGAGCAAAAAGCTAAGAGCAAAAATGTGTGCAAATCACCCACACGTCTTTCTGCAAGCAGAGCTTTAATCTGGGCAATTCATTCAGTGCTTTACAGTAAGTTATTTCCAAAAGTGATGCACTCATCATTCTCAAAGTCGCTGTGAGTGTAATTCAAGCTCCAGCTTACCAACAAGAGCTGCAACTGTGGTCAGAGCGCTTTGATTCCGGAGAGCTGAAGTCTGATGGAAAGATCCTTTTTTCCCCACATCTCACTTCCCAGACAGCACGTGGGCATTGCATCCAGTCGTGTATGCTGGTAATATTGTTCTTTGGAACTGAATGCTTGTGACTGTGATACCTTTACAGTGGGATGATTCTTTCTACAGCGCCGGAACCATGTTATTAGGAGCTGCAATTGTCCCAGCACTGCAGGGAGGGATGAAACCTGTCTGTATAGTGTGTGAGCTTAGAATTAGCATTCAGTGTATTGTGAGCACAGAGGGGTTTACCCAAAAGTGGGGCATCCACACAAGAGGTTGAGAAAACAAAAAGTTAGTGGTAGAGACTTCAGAAGAGAAAGCTGACGTTTGTCAGTTGTGCACCTGTTCACAGTGATGTTTTTAATGCTTCTGTCTCCAACTCAGAGGAGATAAGCACCTGGAAATGATTTTATAGAGGTATGTTGGAATAAAGCACTTCTGCATCATGTCATTTACCCCCTTTTCATTGTCTAGTGATACGAAACTTGTGCTGCCAACATCTCTCTCTCTGTAGGCTTCCTTCACGTGGCAGCTGCCCAGTGTATGGTCCATGAGATTCATCCCAGGAGCTTTACATTGCCACGCCTGCTGCTGAACGAGACATCTTTGAGTCCTGCTGCTGCTGCAGTGGTACAGAGCTGGTCTGGCTTGAGGAGAGAGCATGGAGCTGCTGAAACCAGCCCTTCCTTGCTAATGGATGAGGACAGCTTTCTGTGTTGCCTTTGGAGCGATAACAACACCAATTGTTCTTTGTACAGAGGAAGCATGCAAGCAAGGATGCTTGTTGCTTCAGAAATAAGCATCTCTGCATCCGAGGAAAGAGGCAGGTTTCTCTGTCAAGGGTGTAGTAAGTTCCTTTAAAAAACACATTGTTTTTTAGTGGTTCAGAAATGCTTAATCCATTTCTTTTATTTAGATTCGAATTGGAACATTGAATGTTGGGTTGAAGGCAAGCTGGATCTGTTAGTTTGTAGCCTGCAGCTCCTGAAGTTTCATGTGACACTTGATATGAAGGTTCATCTTTTATATGCTGTGTAAGTACAGGCTTAGATTTCTCACTGCTAGCATTACAAATCTGAAAGCATTTTCTAACACATCAGCACTGGTCTCTCAAGCTTGTAGCACAGTAGTGGTGTCAGCTTCACAGGCAGGTGATATTTTATGTACCTTACCTTAAAGTAATCTAAGACTATACAGAGAAAAGCTCATGGTTCTATCTTTGAATGAAAAACAATTAGCGTGGAGAGTCTCTCTGCTTTATTCTTTCCCTGTTTCTCAAAATGCATTAACTGTTGATCACTATTGGCTTGCTGAAGAATCTTTGCTTTTGCACTTGCTAAATTCAAAAGCTGCAGTCTGGTTCTACCTGTTTATGCTTTTGACCATAATGTTCTCTCAGAGTAATTAAGTGACTTGGTGTTTAGCATTGTGTTGAATGTAGCTCTGATCACATTGGTGGGAGGCATCCATCTGTGTGGTTGTCACTGTCATAAATACTCTGATGGTAATTATCCTGACTCTGGGGTGGCGTCGCCTGTCTGATTTTATTGTAGGTGGGTCTACTTGATTCTGATTTCACTGTTCCTCTTGTACTACTGATGGATTGGAGGGAATGATGTAATGTACAGATGGAATTTCTTGAGGAAACCTGCTCCATAAGTAGTTGATCATGCTAAACTTACAGGTTTAAAATACAGAGCTAGATGGCTGCTATCACTTGCCATAAATTATACCTTAATGAACGTAGGAAGCAACAGAATGTGCTGGTAGCAAATATGGTTGTAGAGGGATACAATACTTTAAAACTGAAATCAGATTTTGAGTGAGAACCCACAGATTGCCAGTGCTCCTCATGACTGTGATTTTCAACATGCCATTAAGGGTGTTCCTGCAGAAGTCCATCTCACTTTGCCCCACTTCCATTCAGTCTCAACTGCAGAAGAATCCTAGCCAGTAATCCTGGTGTGGTTCCTTTGTGGTGCAGAGGCAAGGTGCAGTGTGGTTCCTGGCACTGGAGAACTTGTCTCACTGCCCAGATTTCACGGTAACGTTTTTGATTTAGGGTCCCCATGCTGTGGGGGAGCAGCTAGCAGAGCAATTCTGACTTCACTAAGCTGACAGTTTCCCCTGTTGGCTTGCTGATACCTTAACATTTTTTACACATGAGCCAAAATACCTTGAAAACATTCCCGGCTTTAAAAATATGCATTCCTGGATTGTGTTTCTGCCTGGGAGTCTGGAGCTCAGGCTGGAATTCTCACGTATAAGATAAGCAATGTATGAAAATAATGACCTGGAAGAATCCATAAGTTTTGCTCCTCAGCAGTTCTGAGTTTCTCAGCATTCAAGATGTCCCCTTCTGACTTCACACATCCACAGTTTATTTGCTCATAATAGGATCAAGATACTTGGAGTAGAAGATGCATTTTTCTGTCCAAAACAATGCTGTGCTGAGGGTACCTTCCCCAGCAGCACGTCTATGGGAGGAGAAAGATTATTCTGGAATTTAATTAGACAAATCAGATTAATTTCCTACCAAAATTGAACTGTAGTTGTGTGTATTCTAGGAATGCTGTAAGCCCTGATGGTTGATTCCATTAACTGAAATCTCTTAGCCTTAGGGATCCTTTTGCAGTGGCACTGATGAATGCTCGTGGGTGAATTCTGAGCACTGATACAATTTGCCCTTTCACTGGGTGGTGATTTATAGGATGTGCTCATGTTCCCAACCTGTCTGCAGTGCCCAAAGGGCGCTTCTTCAGTTCTGAGATTAGACTGCTGTGTTCTTAAGGAGAAATTACACAGTTTACCTCAACTTTGGTGCCGTAGTTGAGTGCATCAGTTACACACTGAGCTGGAGAACACTGACATTTGCCTCATGTGAACCAGTCAGGCACCTCCCTGCAGCAGTGAGGGGCAGCGTGTTCAGCGAGATGGACCTGCAGCTGCTGTGTGCACTGAGACACGCTCATTGAAAACCCATAACCAGGCAGCCCTGCTCCATCAGTGCTCAGAAAGACAGCACTTGCACAAACACAGCGTATAGAAACACTGAAAGCAGTGCCACAGGTGTAACCTTACTTCTGACGTGCCTCAGCACACCTGCCCAGCTGTGCTGCTGGACCTCTCTTGAAATTTAAGAATTAGTTTAGTATGTTTGACCCTTTGTTTTCAGTTGATGGATGGAAGCAGCCTTATGCCCACTTGTGCCGCATTTATTTTATAAATTGAGAATAATTTGATTCAACTCTGTGGAGTTATAAGCACTGGAAACATTTATAGATAGATCACGTTTATAAATCATATATGATGGTTATTACAAAGCTTGCTTTTCACTGAAAAAATAAGTTTTTGACTAATATATTACTTACAATGTTTAATGGTAGTAGAAGCTACGCTACACTTACTTAGATTTGATTTCAGTGCCCCACACAGAGGAATTAGAATGAAATCCCAGTTGGGGTGGCAGAAGGCTGCAGTTAGTCTGCTGTGGGGGAGCTGACTTTGTGGTAATAGCTGCCATCAGGGGTTTGAAACCAGTCTGACTGAGCTGTGGGTCTCATCACGATTGTAGCACATTTGGTTCAGAGTCAAAGCTTAATAATGCTTTTTGTAAACCATCAGATTTGCTTTACTTGGAAACCATTTTAAAAGGGAAAAGCGGCAAAGTAAAAGCGATTACTTACAGTTAGAAGCTTTTAATCTTTTTTTTCATTACAGGCAGTATTTTTGTTTGTTTGTTTTTGCAAATAAACCTTCTCCAGAGAACAAGCACCTGCTATTGAAATACAGTGCTAAGAGAAATACTTTGTTTTTTGTTTGTTTTTTCCTTCCAGGTCAGAGCTGCCCCTGGGAGATACATCTACCAGCTCCCTGAAGAGGTCTGCCCTGGCTGCTGAGTGTAACTGCAGTGAGTACAGCAAATGTGAGTGCCACGTGCCTTCCCCAAGGCTCAACCACACTTACATCATGTGGCTGAAGACTGTGACTGGTGTAACGCCTCTCTGGTCACCCTTGATGTCAGTCAAGCCCATAGATGTAGGTAAGTGTTACATAGGTTGTGAGTGTTTGTTAATGGGGAGGGGCAGCAGGATGTCTCTGGATGAGAAGGAGGACACAGAAGAGGAAGGGACTTCCTGGTGCTGTCTTGGATTGCTCACTGAGCAGGGAAAAAGGCTGTTCCTGGTGCTGCTTTGCAATTGAAACTCTTCTCTCCAGCAGCTCTGTTTTTCTTATGTTTTTCTTTCTTCCTTACACATACAATTCCAGCATTTTCCAAACTGGAAAACAGTTCTCTAATATTTAATCAAGCCAAAGCCCTAGTGACACAGTGAATTTGATATGTGTCCATTTTGTAAACACAGTTACTACAGATCTTGGCTAAGATTGAACAGGTAGGGTCTGTCAGCTGGGGGGAGGGAAAAATAGAAGCCTTGCAAACTGCTTCCTAACTGATGTGCTCTGCAGACAGAACAAGTTACACACCTCTGCATGGGGCAGTTCTGAAGATGAGGGGTTGCATTTACCGCTATGGTTTTACATTCAGAGCTGAGTGTGCCAGCGTTGAAGCTGTTGTGATTAGATTGTTCTGCTTAGTGAAGTGTATTTTAAAAAATGAATAACGTTAGTATGTGCTCTGCCAGGGCTGAGTTGAGTTAAAAAGCAGTTGGAAAGTAAAAATACGTAAACTTGTTTAATATATCAGTAGAACAGGTGGCAGCAGAATGAGAAAACATTTGTATTGTAACGTGCCCAGAAGTGTGAGGTGAAAGTCCCTGACTTTTTTTTGTTTTGAAAGCTATGGGCCTTTGCTGAAATCCATCATTATTCCATCTCAATGCAATTAACTTGGAGAATTTGGATAAGTAATAAGAAAATAAGTTGTGACTTAGTATAGCGAATTTGTACGGAAAATAATAACAGTTGTTTGGTAAGTTGAGTGAGGTTCCAGTAACAGCATCCAAAGAAGATGACTGTAAGAGCAAAGAAATGGCCTCTTGGCATTTAGTCCAGTACTGAAGTGCAGGCTCTTACTGGAGTGAACCCCCACGTTGCTCTGGGAGGCTCCAGGTGAGCCCAGCGTGTTGTCTGACCACGTGGTTCCAATGCCAGGAGCCAGGTACCTGCGGGGCTGTGGGGGCAAGCTGTGGGCATCCAGAGCAGACAGGGCTAAAGTGAGCGTGCACCCACTGCCTGAGACCCTTGGAAATGCTTTCTTTTCAGGTAAGGCACATGCTGTTTAATCTGCAGTGGTTTTTAACAGGATATCAGCCTTGCATGAGAGGAACTCTGCTGAATGAGGACAAGGTCAACCAAAAGGCACTGTACTTACACAGTGATATGAAAAGGTCTCATTAACAGGTAAAAGTAGGATCTGGGTTCCTTGCCTTTGTCCAAGGAAGAGCAAATGTGATCGCAATCACCATTTTAAATTGCCCATCTATTTCCTCCTCCGCAGAGCTCTCTGTACCCTTGTGGGAACTTCCTGAAGGCCCCTTTTTCCCTCTGCCTTAATGCAGCTCTGTGAGAAGCCTTTTATTCATAGCCATAATCACAGTAGAAGGATGGGAAGATTTAGAAATTGTGTGTAAAATATGAAGATGTCATTTCCTGCCCGTTAAGGAGCTGAGCAAATGGCTTTGTACAGCGCTCCCATCCCTTTCAACTCTTTCTTCAGCAAGTCAGATAAGCTAGTACTTGATTACTGGGGAGAAGCATGACCAAGGCAAGAAATACTTGTAATTTTAAGGCAAACGTTAGGTCAGGCAGCTTTTCCTGACAGCTGAATGTGCAGCAGTGCCAGGGTGAACTTTCACAGTAATATTACACAGCGTTGCTCTCTCATACATCGTTTGTAGAGCAACTGTTGAAAACTGAATTTAAAGTGAGAAAGAAATTTCCAAATCAATAGAAGTCATTACAGCCAGCAGTCACAGGCAGTGTAAACTCATCTGTTAATTTGTCTGCAGTAAAGCCTGAACCTCCTTTGAATGTGCATCTAGAAATGACAGAGAGAGGTCAAGTGAAGATCTGCTGGTCTGAGCCTGTAGCGATGCCGTACCCGCTCCGCTACGAAGTGAACATCTCTGGAAACTCAGGTCCAAATGGCTGGCAGGTGAGTCAGCCCTGCTCTCCCTCCTCCTTTCTTTTTCCTGGATTGTTGTTCAATAATAATAGCTTCTGATAATCCAACAGGTGGTTCAAGTTGCTTTAAATACCTCATTAGACATAGACAGTACGCTGCTTGATTCTTCCTCCTTTGCTCAAGTGCGGTGCAAGAATCATTATGGTCCGGGGTTCTGGAGTGAATGGAGCATGCTGTACAACCTGAATGTGGGAGGTAGGTGGTGTGCAGTCACCTGAGCAGTAAGTACACTTCTGGGATACAGTAAATCTTCCCACTTTTGTTTTGGAATCAGTGTGTGTGAGAACATTATCCAGGGAGGTGCAGTATGTTGTGTGTGAGCTGGACCAAGAATTCCCATGTAGGCTCCTTGACCTTCTGCTTCTCCTGCTCGTAGCTTTACCTGAGGTTGTGCTCTTTCCTTTGTAGAAGATTGGCATTAAATGATATGGGGACTGCAAGGTGATCTCCATGGCACCCCTGTGGCCGGCCCTATTGCTTTCAGGCCTGGGAGAAGCTGGGTCTTTCACTTACGCTTCTGTGTGTGGTTCTCACTGTGCTGGTGTTTTCTGTCAGTTCATTACTATTTGCCTAGGGACAGTAGAGGGTATTTTTATTAGAGCTTGTAAGCACGAGTTATGGAAGGAAACAGTCAAGGATCTGTTCCTGCTCCTCTGCCCGGTAGCAGTCCAGAGTAACAAACCTGGAGGAAGCAGATGATGTACTGGATAGTAGTAATTTTCTGTTGATCTGTGGTTTTTGTTGTTCTGACTCTGATCTCAGTGGATTTCTTTCTTTTCTTGTAGCTGAAGTGCTGTACTTCCCTACTAAGATACTGACCAGTGTTGGTTCTAACGTTTCATTTCATTGCATCTATAAAAACAAAACCAAGAGCGTAGCGTCCAAGAAGATTGTTTGGTGGCTGAATTTAGCAGAGGAAATCCCAGAAAGTCAGTATACGCTTGTGAACGATCGCGTAAGCAAAGTTACTCTTTTCAACTTGAAAGCAACAAAACCTAGAGGAAGTTTCTTCTATAACGCATTGTACTGTTGCCATCAAAATAGGGAATGCCATCATAGATACGCTGAATTATATGTAGTAGGTAAGAGTCCAGATGATTTTAAATTACAGTTTTGGTGCATTTCAATAGTAAGGTCAATCTTAAACTCCACTCAGCTTTTTTTCAAGTAGTTACGACTTGTAATGCATGTTTTTTTGTGTAAACAATTATATCTTGTTAATAACTTCTAATGTGTTTTTAATTAGATGTGAATATCAATATCAAATGTGAAACTGATGGGTACTTAACTAAAATGACTTGCAGATGGTCTGCAAACCCAAACGCGTTGCTCCTGGGGAGCTCCTTGCAGTTAAGATACCACAGGTGTGTATAGCTTTTAATTCGCGTGTTGTTTGGAAAGCATTACTCAGAAAACACTGTTACAGCAAAGAACCAGGAATAGATGATACAAATGTGTAAATACAAAATGTATTTTCACTTCCTGTAGGCCAGGCTTCTCAACTGGAACTGCAGAAGTATTGAATGTACGTGCAAATGAGGGTATGGGTATCTGAGTCAGTGATGGGGTTTTATTGTTTATTCACCTCCTCTTCTGCACTTGTGAATCTTGTCGGTGCCGTTCAGAAGTCAGTTCTAAAATGCAGTTGAGAACACAGATCTTTATTAACTCAGTTATGACACTGACCTACATCTAACTGAACTAATTACTGAACCCAGCTTTTGGGGTTTTCTCAAGTCAGTGTTTCTGCTTGCATTGTATGAGTGAATGCAGGTTCACCTGGCTCTTATCGTGGATGTATTTGCTTCTATTAGTTATATAGGATCTTCTAGTTGCTTATTTCTACAGACAGTAAAGAAGTGAAAAAGTAGTAGCAAAAAAAACCAACCAAACCACCCAACAAATCACTCATTGACAGAGCACTGGAGCAGGAGCCCAGATTGGCTCTAAAATCTCTGTCCTTGGAAAGAGACCTTGGGATCTCAGCTGGGCAGGATGCTGGGCAGCCTTGTCAGAATGGAGCTCTGTGTCTCTCCTACATACAGATAATATATAAATATACAAGGGCAAAAAAAAAATCTTGCTCATAAGATTCTTGGTTCAGAAAGGAGTTGTTGCTCCTTTGTGAATGGTAAGGTAATTAATTAAGGTAATGTTGGTGGTGGCTGGAGCAATCCATTCATTTCACTGTTCTGCAGCAATAGACGTGTGAAGGTTTCACACAAACAAGCCCTGAGTGCCTAATCCTTTGGAAAGCTGAACTGCCCTTCCTAGGGAAGGTGGATTTAATTTCTGAACAACTTGTTGTACCAAAATGAATATTTCTCAGGGTTTTGTGGAATAAAGCAGTAGCTGGAGTGCTTGAGTGAGATTGCAGGTGGGGACTTCTGGGGCAGGGCTGGTGACTACATGACACCTGAGGTGGCTTTTGGCTGTCTGCAGAAATGGGGATGTAATTGGTGTTGTGCTGGGCAGGGAGCCTGAAGCAAACACGGTGCTGCTCATGCCGTGGTTTCATTCCTGCTTTGTCACTGTTCAGGTTTAGCTGTTCCTTTCTGATGCTACATAATAATTTGTACGTTCAGTGTCCTGCTTCACTGAGCGCTGTACAGTGATACAACTGTAATGCTGGCATTGAATGGGATATTTCTTTCAGTATTCTTGGGCTGAGGTTTTGTTTCATGTTCTAATTGAGGTGTGTGTGTGCTTGCTCTGTCAATACCACAGACTGAAAGAGCAAGAGTTTAGAAAAGAAGTGCCATGGGGAATGGATGGGAGGTTTTCCAGGAGCACGCAGCTCCATTTTTCATCTTGATGTGATTCCATTTGAGAGATGAAATCCCATGCTGTACAGTGATGTGGTGTGATAGCTCTACACGTTGATGTTTTGTTTTCATTGGCTCCTGGTTACGTCTTCCTCTACAGTCAGTGCTGCCAACTGTAACAGCACGGAACTGATCATCCTAGAAAAACAGAACGCCAAGCTAAACCTAAGCAGCAGACAACTGTTAATCAGTATTAGCTGTGTTGACAGGAAGAGGAAGGATTCAGCTAAGGCTAACCTTTGTGGTCCAGCTGAATAATGAATGCCCTCTCTGGACTCTTACTGCAAGTCTGAGCTGTGCAGATGCTTAGGAAGAATTTGGAGCCTGTCCTTCCCACCTCCCATAAGGCATTACTGCTATTCTGTCCAGAGCCCAGGTCTCCTCTCTTCTGTTGCCAGCTGTGATATTGACTGCCTGTGGGATTTTGATAGCACCCTCCAGGATTAATACTCGTATGGGATTTCAGTCTCCTGGAGACTTCACTGTTCATGTCTGATTGGGCTCCTGTGCTGTGGACATCGGTTGGTGTTTGGCAAGTCATGTTCCTGGCTGCCTTGCCTCTAAACACCTCTAAAGTAACATGATTTATCAGTGTTTGGAGATGCCTGCTCTTTTTGTACCTCTTTCTTCCTGCTGTCAGTCTGTTATCGAAAGATTTTGCACTGGGATGAGCTTTCTATGTCCTACTTTTCCTCCAGGCTAAGAGCCAAAGCTTTAAGGAACACTGCTGTGTTCCTTCTCCATTCAGTGCAGAGTCAAGTTCAAGGTCTGTCCAAATAATCATTAAAACAGTCACACAGTTCCAGTGATAACATTTGTTTTAATTACCTCCTCTATGACTGATGCCATGAGCAGCTTATTGTTGCAGCACATTAACTGAATGTTTTTCCTCTTTTAAGGAGCAAAATTTATTGTTCTAACTTTCCAAGTGCTCCTCCAGAATCAGAGGTGAAAGAATGCCATTTCCAGAGGAATCATTCTTACGAGTGCACATTTCAGCCTGTTTTTCTTTTATCTGGATATACCATGTGGATTGAGTTTAAGCACTCGCTGGGAACACTTGAATCCTCACCAACGTGTGTCGTTCCAGCAGATGTGGGTAAGTCTAGATTTCTGCACGTCTTTCTGAGCTTGTGACCTTGGATTTCAGGCCTTATATGGTATAGGTGAAGTACTTCATAGCATTTTAAATAAATTATATTGTGGAAAGAACATAAACACTTAAGAACTTTGGTGTTGTCTTCTAAAAAAAACACTGGATTGAATGTTATTTCCATAGATTTTGCTTGGCACAGGAGCAGACCATGACTGTAGCTAGGACCTATAAAATGCCACGTTTAGTTGTGTATGTTTATCCTTTTGAGTGTTTTGCAAAGATATCCAGAAGAAGAAGAAAAAGTAGTTTGGTAAAAGACAGTCTGATTTTTAAGATTCTTGGTTAGTTACTTGTTTCTGGTCCCTCCTCTGAGGGAGGGGCTGGGAGAGCTGGGACTGCTCAACCCAGAGAACAGGAGGCTTTGAGTCCATAATAACCAGTCCTTAATAACCTGAAGGGACGTGCAGGCAGAACAGAGCCAGGCTTTAGGCATGGATGCCAGTGCAGGCCCACAGGGCTGGGCACAGACTGGAGCCCAGCAGCTCTCTGTGCCACCAGGCAGCACGCTGTGCTGGCCGTGCTGGAGGGCTGGCACAGGGAGCAGAGAGCAGGGGGACGCCGTGGGATCTCCAAACAGCTCTGGGGGCCCTGCTGGGGAATGACGTGGGTTGGATGGAGCCAGAGGTGCCCCCAGCCTCAGCCATACCGTGCTTCTCTGAAGGTTATGCTTTGATGCAGTGTAGCATGACAGCACGTTCCTGTTTAAAAGCATAGGAGCTGTTTATGTTCTTGCATGCTTTTGCAAAGTTTGTTTTGTGACACACAGAGAACTGAAATTTGTGTAAAAGAGAGGCAGAAACAGTGCTTGAGTGTTTTCAAACACTGCAAAATGTGCAAAGCAAGTCTTGTTTCTGGGTCTGTGACTCAGAGCGTTCGTTGGACGCTGCATTGCTTTGGGCACAAATGAGAACATATGCAGAAGGAACACACTGCAGCTTTGGCTTTGTGTGACTTCTGCAAAAAGACTTTCTACATCCATCTACAGAGAGGAAGTATCACTTTTCCACCCAGATTCAGTGTTTGCAATAGCTGGTTCCTTCTGTACTCCAGATAGACCACAAAGTGCTACATGAAATAAAGTAGAATAGAGTGCATATTTTATGGGAGTGGAGAGGTACAGGCACATAAAGCACATGAGATAAACCAAACTGTGCCTTGCATTTCAGATTTTAATTAGAGTGAGCAAAACAAAACCTATTTGTTCTCACCTCACCCAGAATTTAAAACATACTTGAAATTTTTGTCATTTATTTGCTTTTTTCTCTCGCTTTCTCCCTGGTCATAACACATTTATTCTAACCTGACTTTGTTAACTAACTGGGGCTTTCTGACACAGCGGTTTCAATTCAAATGAAACCTACTGAAACTTCCCCATGAGTTCAAAATAATAATAATAATAATAATGTGATGTCATAAGAAACTTTGATAAATCAGCTTAAGATTTTTGATGATTTTAATTTGGGTCAAAGATGGACTTAATTTCCCCCTTCTCAGCCAGAAGCTCTCTGTCTGCAGTGAGCAGCAGGCTGCCTGTGCTGCAGGTTGGTGTTGTGGTGTCTGGAGTCTGGTGCTCTCCCAGCTTCACTTGGAGTAGCAGAGGCTGCAGTGCTTCCTGCTGCCCTTGGGTCAGAGGAGGGCATGCAGCGATGACTTCACTGAATGACAACTGTCAGTGGTGATGTTACAGTCGTCTGTGCTTCCTTTGCATTTTCTAGTGAAGCCACTTCCTCCCTCCAACGTTAAAGCAGAGATCACCAGAAATGATGGGCTGCTGAACGTGAGCTGGGCAAACCCTGTGTTTACAAGTGATGACCTCAAGTTTCAGATCCGGTATGCAGTGAACGAGGAAGAGCTGACATGGGAGGTACTGTCTCTTTCAATCCGGAGCAAAGCACGAACTGCTGCGGTGCTGTCGTGTCGCCTGTCAGCTAGCAGGTGTTGATGGAGTTGGTTGTGAGCAGTGAATCACAGCTCTGAGTATTTGCATTATCTGGCAAGGGAATGTTACTGAGTAGGCCTCTCTCCTGTTGGATTTGTTTTCAAGAGTCTTGATTGTCACACGTGCTGAAACAACCCTTTGTTCTTACTTTCAGTATTTTGACTTCTGTTACAGCTGTACGAAGTTCTAAGTGTATCAACAAGATCAGCTGTGATAGAAGTGCAGCTTTGTGTTGAATATATTGTTCAGATCCGCTGCAGAGCCCTGGATGGTTTGGGCTACTGGAGCAACTGGAGCAGATCAGCCTATGCAGCTGTCAAAGATATCCAAGGTAGATGTGCCTGCAGGCTGTGCTCAGGCGGTGTGTCCAGTTTCAGGCTGAGATGTGACGCTGTCCTTTCAAAACTGTAATGTTGCAGCTCCCTTACATGGCCCTGAGTTTTGGAGAACTATCACTGAAGATCCAGCAACGGGGCAGAAGAACGTGACGCTGCTGTGGCAGGTGAGAGTGGTTGCGTTTTGATCCTTCGCTTTGAAAGAGGTCTGATGCAAAAGCACTGCTGTTACTGCCCAAGGAGGAGTGTGGTGAGCACGTGCTTCCCTGTGCAGGCAGTGCTGTGCTGCGTGTTCGTGTCAGCCTGCATGTTCAGTGTTAGTTACACAAATGGTGTGAAATCACATGCAATTTGTTCTAATTCTTGGGAGGAAAAAAAAAAGGCAACGTGGAATCAAGTACTGTAAGGGAATGAGAGATGCAGTTTTTGACTGCCAAGTTTTGCTGAGATCTCAGAGCAGAATGTGCCACTGACTCCCAGACAGCTGCCTGTGCAAACACTGCTGCAACAGCATATAGACTTGGCAAGGCTACCTTCAAAGGTTAAAGCAGGATAGAGGAAAAGAGTACAGAAACAACTGGCCACTCCTGCTTGTCCTTGCAGTGATGTTGTGTGTGAAAATAATCATCTGTCCTGGGTTTTTTTGTGTTTTTTTTGTGTTTTTTTTTTTTTTTTTTTTCAATCCTGAAAAAATACCAACATCAAGCAGCCAATTTTTTTTGGAATCTGAAACTTTGTGTTTCCTTGTGCCCTCTTTCACTGGAGAGATAGCAAGTAGGGCTATCAGAATCATATCATAGAATCACAGCATGGCCTGGGCTGCAAAGGAGCACAACGCTCATCAGTTCCAACCCCTGCTGTGTGCAGGTCACCAACCAGCAGCCCAGGCTGCCCAGAGCCACATCCAGCCTGGCCTTGAATGCCTGCAGGGATGGGGCAGAGAGGAAGTCAGGTCTGTGAGTGGACAGTGGTGTCTTTTCTTAAGGAAACAGAACATAGAACATCTTTCTTGGGTCGTGCTTTCTTAAAACTGGGATGCTGACACTTGTACCCAAATGCTTTCTTTTGCAACCGAAGTCTGGGAAATTGATTAGCATCAATGTTTGCCACAGCCGCTGATGAAGAATCACTCGCTGTGCAGCGTGAGGCGGTACGTTATAAAGCATCAGACATCAGAAAACACCTCGTGGTCAGAATATGTCGACAGAGGCACCACCTCCTCGTTTCCATGGACTGAACACACTCACACCGTTACAATCTTAGCTGTGAATTCAATTGGAGCTTCTTCGGTTAATTTTAATTTAACTTTATCACGACAAATGAGCACAGGTAAGCACATCCGGTAGGTACCGTTTTGAGATGTGAAATATGTTAGGGATCCTTGGGATGCTTTTAGGCAAAGCTTGCTTTGTAATGAAATTCCCTTTGTTGGGGAGGAAAAGAAAAAAAAAGAAGCAGTTGGTTCAGTCACGAATGGAAACAGATTCTGCATCTCACAGTAAAGCTATCTGAAAAGTGACATTTCCATCACCTGGAAATATTACCTGGGAATGTCTCCCCTCCAGTAACAGAACAGAAAGTAGTTAGCCAAACAAAAATGAAATCATGCTGTGGAACTGATCTTTCGTCTGCTTTGTCTTGGGAATGCCCAGTATTCCTGCAGGGGAATGTTTTATTGTTTCCAGAATGAGATGTGATCCGTTTCCCTGGCTGGGAAGAGGTGCAGCCCTCCTTCCCGAGCCGCCTTGTCAGAGGTTGAGCCATGCTGTGCTTCATTAATAAAATAAAGACTACTGGAATTTTAAATCTTAAATTGGGTAACATTCATATGCTAATGTGTTCTGTGGAAACATTTCTGCAGTTTATTCACGGACCTTTTCCACAGCAATGCCTTTTTAGACGTGTTTTTATGGGTCAAATTCTTTCTGACACTGCGCGTAGGGTGGAGGCTCATAGTTGGTAGCAGATGAAGTGGGAAGCGTTTGCCTGCCTGGATTATGGTCTGGCTGTGTTGTGTAGGGGGATTAGATAGGATTTAGCTTGTAGACTCTCAGTGTGTGTTTTCGTAGCTCAGGTCAGTTTGTTGATGATTTCTTCGTTAAGGAGTGGTGATTGAGGAGGTACACGTGACAGCACAGGCATTTGGTTGGTGAGCAGCTTGGTCTGTTTAGTGCTCAGGACTCGGTGTAGACCAAGCTTCACTGGCTTAGAGAAATACATTTGCTTACGTGAACTGCAGATCAGGCTGTACTGTATGATGATAAAACTAAAATGAAGATCTTGAACTGTAGTGGTCATTTGTGTGCATGTATGGTGCAGCATCAGCTCTGCTGAGCCAGCTCTCACCTCTGTTGGAGCCCTTGTCTCTCACAGCTGTTCTGTCCTTGCTTTGGCAGTGAATGCAGTGCAGTCTCTCATTGCTTACCCAGTGAACAGCACGTGTGTGATTTTGACTTGGACGCTTTCACCTCAAATATATGTGGTAACATCTTTAATTATTGAGTGGAGAAACCTTAACAAAGAAGAGGAGATGAAATGGGTGCGAGTTCCTCCAAATGCTAGTAAATACTATATTTATGGTGAGTGTGTGCTTGAAAATGGAATGCATTATGTTAATTGATACGGAATAGGAGAATGCAGCATCGCTGAGCTCTCACATTCCTCTCTTCCCATCTCTCCATTTCTGATTTTATGGTAAGGAGCAATACAGCAATTCTGATTATCGTGAGAGGACTGACTGTTGCTTTCTTCATGGAAATTGATGAAGAATGAAGCTGAGATGTGCATTCATTTTTTGGCAGCACAATAAAACTAGCTCTGGAATGTTGACCATACCAGCTAGTTACCTTAATGTGTTAATTAATTCCATCTGCATTGTTTGCTTTAATCTTGGAAATTGTTGTGTAGTTGTGTATAAGTGTTAATTCCATGGAAAAAAATCTGCTAGACTATGCAGTAAGTATTAATAATCTTTTGATATTAAAGTGCATACCTATAAAAGGCAGCTTTCCTCATTCCTGTCTGTGGCCTGGCTCTGATGTGCGACCTCTCTGGAGGCCCTCGTTTCATAGCAGGGTGATAGTTCATGTTCAGAAGGCTGACTTCTTCCTTCCAGATCACTTCATTCTGATTGAGAAGTACCGGTTCAGCCTGTACCCCGTGTTTGCTGCAGGAGTTGGCAAATCCAGAGCCACGGACCAGTTCACCAAAGGTGATGCAGCATCTCTCTTCTGCGTGGTTCATGAAGTAGGAGCTTGGTAGTGAGAAGTGGAAGTCTGTGTCTTATCAGAAAAAAAATGAAGTGATTTTAATACGTCTAAAAACAGTGCTTTGGATTTCAGTTTCTTTAAAGTGGAAACTCTTTGTAGAGTGAATTGAGTGAGGCAACTGAATTTCCATATATCTAACTGGTAGCAGAGGTCCTAGGTTCCTAATCTTGCAGTTACGGATTGTTCCCCTATTTATATGCTCTAATTTCCAATAGCAAGGGATGCCCACTGGCAAGAGGAGTCACCTCAGTATTTAGAATAATTCTCTCCTTTTTGTCTGTTTGTTCTCAAGGTAAAATTGGTTGATGTGTGATAAAACTGTTACCAGATTTCTTTTGCTTAGGCTGTTGCTTCTCCTGGTGATGTAAGTGGCCGTTACTTGCCTTTTATAAACTGTTCACAGACAGATGATTTCACCGTGGTGTTTCCTACCTTCCTCTTACTTCCAGATGGATACGCCGCTCAGACCACGTCCAGCCTTCACACGGTTCTGCCAATAGTAATTTCAACCTCTGTGCTGTTGCTTGGAGCGCTGCTGGCTTCCCACCGCAGGTAAATTTGGCCTCGTCAAATCCCTTTGGAAGGCAGAGCAGCTTTGCTGGGTCTCAGCTGGTGGGCAGCGTCCGTATGAGGAAAGCTGGGATTGCTTTTGTCATTTTTATTTTTGAGATGCAGTGTAAGGCATCCTAGATGTTGCAGCAAGAACTGGAATGCCTTGTTACCCAGTTGGAGTAATGCCTGTCACAGCTGGTGTCCTTCCTCAGTGGGAGGCACCGCATCAGCCTGCATCCCACACTGCTTGCTTCTGCAGTGTTTTGTGGGCAAGCTGATGGGTGCTTTGAATCTGTATTGCACTCTGTGCTGCAGATTTAATTCTCCTTACCAACTGAAGTCTGAAGGAAAAGCCAATTCCAAAAAAAGTCCATTTGAGTTTTGTGGAGGGTGGGTTGGGGCCCAGCAGTTCAGCAAAGGCTGCCTGTACATTTCATAATTCATGAAACTGCCAGCTGCCGTGTCACTTCTTAATTTTTCCATTTAACTTTGACCTTCTAGACTATCCCAGGTGATTGTTGCATGGTCATAGTGTTCTGGATAAACAAAATGTCACACGTTCCTTTTCTGACGTAGCAAAGGTGAGTAACAGCGGTACAGAATATATGAGTGCAGGACTAAGTCCAGAACTTACCTCATCTTTCAGAATGAAGAAGCTGCTCTGGGAAGATGTTCCGAACCCCAAGAATTGCTCATGGGCACAAGGAGTTGATTTTCAGCAGGTAAGTCTCTCCCTGGTGCCGCTGCCCCCCACGCTGTGGTCAGGGCTGGCAGCTCAGCACTGAGCTCTGTGTGTTGGTCAGTCTACAGCGCGCCTGGATGGCTGAACCAAGCGCCTGGAGCCTCTCAAGTTGGTGATACAGCTGTTCTTTCAGCTGTAGAAAGCCAGCACCCCAAATGTGGCAGGACCAGAGACCAGTGTCTCTTGAATGTGACACAGCAGTTGTAGAATCCAAACGTGTCCCATCGGTGTAGTGCTCCTGTACTGATGAGTGCTTGTAGCTGTGTGCTTTGCTGGAATAAACTGCCTCTCCATCTACCATGTGAATCAAGAGCTGTGATGCAATGAGCTGCGGCCAGTGAGAGCCTTTATGTGGACACAGCCTGTTTGCACCAGGAGGTGGAGTTTCTCGTGGTCCTGGGAGCTGACAATGTACAGTCATTGAGACAGTGATCTGAATTAGGTCTGTTGTTTCTGAAAGGCAGAGCGCCTAGCGGGGATTTTAGCTGCATTCCCAGGGAAGGTTTCCTTTCTCATTTCATTTCAGCAGAGGATGGACATTCTTTCAAGCCTAATCATGGTCACTGCCTGCTTGAACCTTTAGGCCATCCAGGTTTCCTAGGGTTAGAAGGTTTTTCTATTTACATCCAGAAGACAGGAAACACAGACACCTAATGATGCTCATTTGCTTAATTATAATGAATCTTAGAAGTAGCGCTGTCAAAAATCCAAAATACCCTTGCAAGAATTAGGAGCAGGTGCCATGTTACAGACCAGAACGTGGCTTCTCACTTGTACAAGGCTCTCCTGTTAAAATCTTCTGAAGTTTTGATGTGCCCCTGGTGCAGCAGCAGCTCAGAGAATGCAGATATTGAATGCATGTCGTGTCTTGGTTGTTTTTTTTCCCACTTGATTGTTTTTTCCCCTGAAGGTTCCAATGTACATGCTATTTATATGGCTGCTTTATTCGTTAGCAAACAAGCACTGTATCAGTGCAGATGTCTGAATCATCTCTAACATTAGGAACAAGCAAGCAGAAATCCCCGAGCACAGTCTGCTTCGGGTGATGGTAGAGCAGTTCCTGCCTAACATAACATGCACTTAGCCTTGCATCTTGATTTTGACATTATTTTTTGTAGCTTTTTAATGTGCTAAAGTACTTCTCTGATGCACCACACTGCGTGATTGTTAAATAAAGCTTTTGGAGTTCATTCCGTTGGGGAAGATGCAGAGGGTTTTCTCCAGCCTCGTAGCAGCAGTCCCTGTGCCTCTGCCTTGCTCTGCAGGGCTCAGCGTGTCTTCTTTACACAGGCTGTTAGGTCCCAGAGCAGTCTGACACGTCTGCCTCCATGGCTGCACCCTGGGAAGGGTTGGGTTCTATGAGAAAACAAGAGCAAAGTGCCAGGAGGATCAGTTGCAGCCACACACCTGTGTTTTGTCTGTTTAATCTTTGCATTTATTACGAGAGGAACTTGTGGCAATGCTCACTATCTCAGGTGGATGTTGGGTTTGGGACACTGGAAATGATTCTCCTTACTCGACTGGTGGAGCTGAAATGAAGCTGGCGATGTTTTAACCAGGGAGGGTGAAGTCATTCCTGTTCCATATTCATATCCCTTGCTCCATAATTAACGGGAAGGAAATGATGCATACAAGTATGCAAGAAGTTGCTGTTGGACATGATGTTTGACAGCTCATTCTGCAGTAGAAAGCACGCCTCCTTCGCACCGCTCTCAGTCTGACTGCAAGATACTGCTTAGAGTGAAGTGCACGGGGCCTGGCCTCAGGTGGGCACGCTCATCTCCTGCTCATTTCATGATATCTGAGGCTGAAACATTCCTTGCAGCAGTGTGGCCAGAGCCTCGTTCTGCACTTGGATGTGTGTGTGCAATTTCCACTAGAGAAAGCAATGTACAGCACAGGATGGTGTTCTTGCTTAGCTACAATAACCACTGACTACATAAACAGCCCATGTGCCACTGCTGGAAAATTCTGGCGTCTTTCTGAAGGCCTTTGATGTAGAACTCTTCTTTTGTCTTGGCATATACCAATATTAAGTCCTTCAGTCAACATCAGACCGTTACTTTGGGTGTTCAACACTGGACGCTGTTACTTGGTGCTCCTGAACTGCATTTATGGAGTCTTGTTTTATCACAATTTTATTGCTGATTGTAGCAAGGGATTAAAATCGCACTTTAAGATAGGCAAAAAGTGAAGGCTTGCAGGACTGAGTCTACACGTGTGACAAAATCGGGCAAGATCACGTTATTTGCTGAGTCAATGAAGTGTCTGTTCAGGGCAGGGGCAGCTGGAGGGCAGCAGTGAGGGCAGGCGCTGCTGGCAGGCTGTGCCATGGGGGGGCAGCAGCCCCAGCCGTGCGAGTTGCTGCTCTCTGGTCCATCTCTGCAGAGAGCTCTGAGTATTTTGACACGTTCCTTGCTGTGCTGGCAGCTCTCCTGCTATAAAATACGGTTTATTAATGCACATGAAATCTGTTTTTATTTGTTTGTTTTGTCTTGAATTCCTTAGGAAATATATCTTTTTCTCAAGCGAATTCTCCTTTGTAGCTGGAAGTTCCCATTTTGTTCAGTTTGTGCTGCTCTGTGTTATATGTGTGTATATTAGGGAGTAGGGAAGTGTACATTCCTCCACAATAAATGTTTCTCTTTGTGCAGTTCAGATGTACAGCTGGCACTCAGATGGGAATGCTCTCAGAACACTACAGAAAGCCCAAATTTGACCCTAGATAATCCAGCCCTAGCTGCAGAAGTTATTTTAGTTGGCACATCTGTGATCTCAGACTGTTTCAGTAATCAAAATGAAAAGTCAAGAAAATCTAAGGGCACAAGGCCTTTGTCTTACAAAGCACATTTATTAACCCTGAGGCAAACGGGGCTGCTCTGCTGCTGTGTTTCAGCCTCAGTGGCTGCTGCCCTGCTGCTCTGGTGCAGCCCATGCTTTGACTCTCCCCAGCTTTCCTCAACAGCCATGCATGAAGAAGGAGGAGGTCTGTCTGAGGGACTGTCAGTGATGTGCTCTTACTAAAGCGGGGGATTTTGCCTGTGATTCGTGAAATCTGTTGCTTCGTGCTGCAGTAGAGCTGTTAAGCAGCAGATGAACATTTAAGCTGTTTCTTTTCTTCCAGCCTGAAACGTTTGAGCATCTTTTTGTCAAGCACCCTGAAGCAATGTCATTTGAGCCTCTTCTTCTGGAACCAGAAATAGTGCTGGAAGACATCAGTGTTATTGAAGCTTTGAAACAAGACGATACGCAAGATTTCTTAGCAGTTGGTTCCACGTTCACAAAACCTGCAGACTCTGAGCACGACTCCGCGTGTCCCAGCAGCCATTTCAGTGGTCGCAGCTTCCCGGAGTGCCCCCCCAGTGCCCCGATCACTGCAGAAACAAGTCAGTCCAACGTTAAATACGCCACTGTTATCAGTAACTCTGGATCAGGTGGGCTTTACGAACAGAAGAAGAATCCCAGAAGTGGTTTTGATAGGTGTTTGCTAGCTGAAGAACCCTTGGCTGCAGGTGCTTGCTCAGGTCGCTCCTGGGAGCTGGGAAATGAGGAGTTCCTCCTGCTGCCTGAGCAGCCTGGCAGCCGGCCCTGCAAGACCCTTTCCCTTATCTCTTCAGAGGGATTTTCAGAGCCTTCAGATCAGGATGATGCTTTCACAGATGGAGGGAGTCCCGAGCGAGGTCTCTGTTACCTGGGGGTAACATCACTGGACAAAAGAGAAAGCGACATTTTTTTAACGGAAAGTTCCAGACTGATGTGCCATTTCCATACAGCTGATCTGCTCAGAGGCGTGGGGTTTCTTCAGAATGCACCTCCTAATTTAAATGTGTTTCTCCAGAGCAGCATTAAAGCCATTGTGCCATACGTGCCCCAGTTTCGGATGACTGCTGCCAAGGTGCAAGAGACCACAGAGAACAGCTGTTAAGCCCTCACGCCTTAATCTGATGCTCTTTATGGCTTTCTAAATGTAGGTATGTGCCCTGTTTTTCCCTCTCTTCACTTCTTTTAGGAAGGCTGGGTAGCTGATCCTGTGCTTGAGTGACAGGATTTTAGTAGGAAGAAATTCTCCTTCTTGGCCTAACTTTCAAATGTGGAGCCTTTTAAAATATAATTTATGTATAAATATATTCAAAGGTTTTCTATTGGCCATGCAGACCCAAGTATGTGTCTCTCCATTCAGGAGTAAAGTATCTCTTTGGCAGACCTTGAGTGAGCTTGCTCTTGTTCCAGGTGTTGTGTGGGGAGCCCAAGACAGAGAGACCTCATCCACAGTGTTAGCGAGGAGATGATGCGGAACGTGCTCAGATCTTGTTTGGGAGAGAAACTCATACTTGGTGTGTCACAGGGGATGGGTTAGGGTTGAATGCAGCAGGCTGAGCCCATCAGGATGTGCTGCAGCCACCAGACTCTTGTACTGCTTGGTTATGGGGCACTGATGTGCACCTGAGCCACGGGTAGGAAACAAGTGTGCCAAGCACAGCACCACGGAGGGTTGTGAGGCCCCCTCACACCCTGATGTTCTGCAGTGAATGGAGCCTGCAGATACGCAGATGGCCCAAATGAAAGAGCAGTCAGAGACCTGCAGTTCAGTTATTGGAAGGAAGGCTGTGACCAATGGAGGCAAACTTGTGGCTGTTCTCCTGTTGTCTCTTTTAAAGTAAAATCTCTTTTAAAGCAGAAGCATCAAAGAGCTGTAAGAGGGGCTGTGAGGTTGGAGGCGTGTGCTGAACAGCCACTGTGTATAAAGGAGAGGCGGCTGTTCCTGTGGCTGAGGGCTGCACGAAGAGGAGGGGAATTAAAATTCCTGTGGCCCCATCACTGTGAGGTGTTACCTGGCTAACGTGGAGTGCCTGGAAATGAAATAACCATATTATTGATGATGAACACAAGATTCTGGTACGAATGGTATTGCAGTAGAGCTAACACTTCTTCCAAACCTATTCCATAAGAACCCCCAGCAGAAATGGCAGTAACTTGATCCAGAAATCCTGTGTTTTATCTGCAGCGAGCTCGCCTGTCTGTGTGGATGTGAGGAAGTCAGGTTGTCCCCAGGAGCCCTGCTGAGCTCAGCCAAAGGGCTTCAGCTGTGAGGAGGATCAGGTCCTGCATCCCAGTGGCACCTTCTGGGATACGCAGGTAAACAAAGCCGCAGGTTCGCAAGCCAAATCTATTTTTTCTACTTCATAGTTGGGAAATATTTTTGTATACATACTTTTTCAAAGAACTATTTTGGAAAGCTGTGACAGATGAAAATATTGTGTATTCCAAAGCTAAATTTACGTGAAACTCACTTAGGCAATGAAAAACAAAAGGGCAAAATTCATCAACAACAATAAATAGTAGAAGCGTGACCATGTGTTAGTGATAGGAAATCCTGTGGAGCAAAAGGGACCAAAGCAAGGACATATTTGCAGAAAGCCCCTGCTGCTCCTTCTCAAACCAGCTGCTCATTTGGCTCTTACTGGGTGCTGAATGTGACAAACGTAAGGTACTGCTGCAAAAAGCACACTGTGTAGGAGGCAGCTGACCAGAGCTCCTTACTGCTTGGAAGCAGGACTGAAGGAAAAGCCTCAAGTCTTGAAAAGGAGGCTGCAGGCTGCAGCGGCCCTGTGGCAGGTGTCACAAAGGCTGACTTGTGGCTGCTCAGCTGGAACGAGCTGCGCTCCGGAAGGTGGCAGCAAGAGTGACACAAAGCTGCGGTTAGCAGCCAGCAGGATGCTAACCTTAGAATGCACCTGAAGGAAGAAATTCCCTGCTGCTGGTGAACCTGATGTGGCACAGCCTCAACATGCTGGGAGCGAGCTGTGCACTGCCCTGCGTGTGGGCTCTGCTCTGTGCTCTGCCCTGCAGCTTTGGCACCTGGTGAGGCCATGAGATGGGCAGAGCTCTTCTGCCCTCCTCCCTCCCCTCCACTCCGCAGGGATTCTTTGTGCTGCAGCTGAATTTTGGGTAGACGACCCAGATTTTTGTGCTTCAGCCACCTGCTCTGCTCTACCAGGGATGGGAAGGCACTGGGATTACTTGAGAGACAGTTTTGTCACTGCTGCTGCAGTACAGCCATGCCCCCTCTGCCTGGAGGAACACTTCCCTGCCTGCTGCTGCTCTCTCAGCTGGGAAGTGAGCAGTGCAGTGCAGCTCGCTGTAGACCAGAATAATAAAGCCATGGTTCATCCCAAGCTTTGAGTCCTTCTAATTTCACTTCCTGCAAAGTTTCCTGGTTGTGTTTGAACATCTTTCTTGAGAAATAGAAATTTACATTGATTTTATCATTGACCACTGTTAGCAAGCGCTCATCCTGTGCTCATCCACTAACCAAGGCCAGGAACAGATCTTGGCAAGGTAGCAGTTCATGGGGTGAGCCCTGGGGGCTTTCCTGGGATGGGCACCGGGGAAGGCAGAAGATCCTGTCCCCCCTGTGCAGTGCTGGTGTGGCTCAGAGCTGGAGGCAGAAGGTGCTCTCTGCACAGAGGGGAGGGGATAGCAGTAGGAGCTGCCCAGGGATTTCTATCTCTGGGAGCCCAGCCTGTCCTGGATGCCTCACTGCCATCCGTGTCACTTGATTTCCTGATGGCCAGAGCAAGTGGTGCTCCATAAAAAGCCAAAGTGTTATGGTATGTCAGGAAAAGAAAACATGGGATGTATAATTAGTGTATGAACAAGCAAATTAACCCCAGGTGCCTTTCCTAAAGCAATTTCAGGCTATGCCTCCAGTCCCTGTGCTCCCATGGTGCAGGTGAGGCAGGGCCCTGAGCACAGCAGTGTGTGTCTGTTTGTAAAGCTGCCTCTGGCATTCCCCCTCCACCAAAGGGGCCTTTGCTACTCTCAGCCTTCCTTCCCAATCATGTCCAGCCTGAAGCCACACGTCCTGCACCCCTCATCTGCTACCCCTGTGCTGCCTGGGGAGCCTCAGACAGAGAGAGTTTGGGAAGCTGGGCAGAGCTGGGGCAGCTTTTTCTCACCGTTACTCTCAGCTTCAGGTCAGCTTTTGTTTAACAGAGCCAAGCGCCTCCTGTGCCACATCAGATTGCAGGGATTTTATTCTGTGTGCAGCACCCTCCCGTTTTCGCAGGGCAGTGAATGCACTCACTTCATGCAGGAGCAGAATCCCATCTGTCCATTGCAGGTTGTGACAGCAGCAGCAGCTGCCTGCGCTCAGGCATGTTGTGAGATGGCTGCTCCTGGGGCAGCTGGGCTCCTCCCGATCCACCTCTGCCTCTGCTGCAAAGAATTCTGTGTCAGTTCCTCTCGTGTACCACTGCCAGCAAATGGGCACTGTGCAGCTTTTTCCTCTACACTTTTTTGCCATGGTTCCATGGCAAGGAAAGGCCTTTTCAGTTTCAGCAGGAAAAGCAATTAGGAGGAGCCACGCGCAGCTTCAGGAGTACATATTAAGTCCAACATTCACCTCTTGCAAATTAATTTTGAAGAGCATTCAGCAGTATAGTTCATTTATCTAAGAAAATGAATGGAGCGTGTTGCCATTCCTTTTACAGGTCGTTTGCAGCCATAATTAAACACCATTTTTAGCGCGATCGATGTGTGAAGCAGCGAGGAATGGGTTCCCATTTTGCACAGCTGCAGTTTGAGTCACACTCCGTCTCACCAGCCTCAGTTCTCCCAGTTTGTGTAAAACAGGCCCCGTGTTTTTCTTTTCCGCTTGCATAAACTGCAAACTAATTTCTGAATGCAGCTTTCACTGCCGGCGCTTTCGCTTCTGGAACATCAATCATTCTGTGATCCTGTGATCATTTACAGTGATAGTTTCCAGCTGAAACCGAAACAAGGCCTTCTACCAGTGTCACAAGGATGTTCGTGGTTGGTGCCACATTGAGTGGGGGTCTGGCTGACTGCACGCAGTGTGCCGGCCCGTCCTGCCCTGCCCGCAGCGCCCTGGGGGGAACGTTGGCCCCAAGCTGTTACTCACACTGGGAAACTGCGTGGAGCAGCGCCTTGCAGCTCGCTGGGATGGGACATGGGGAGGGCAGAGCTGCAGTGCGGGATGTGACTTTGTGTCACGGCTTCACCCCTACCCTGCGGTCACAGCTGAGGATGGTTTGGGACAGAGGAAGGAGCCCTGTAGCATTGGGAACTCCTGCCCTATGCAGGATGAGGGTGAAGAGAGTGAATGAAACACCCCTGTCCCAGAGCAACCTGACAGCTAAAAGCATTATCTGGCGGTGAATCACATCTGCTGATTATAAAAGCTTTTTCCTTCTGACTGTGAGTGTTCTGTGACCAAAGGAGAGCCAGGGCCCAGGGCTGGGCGCATGCAGCAGCTCCAATGTGCAGCACCGTGGTGGCAGGGTGCAGGTGGGGTGCAGGCGGGGTGCAGGCAGGGTGCAGGCAGGGTGTAGGTGGGATGCAGGTGGGGTGCAGGTGGGGTGCAGGCGGGGTGCGGGCAGGGTGCAGGCGGGGTGCAGGTGGGATGCAGGTGGGGTGCAGGCAGGGTGCAGGTGGGATGCAGGTGGGGTGCAGGTGGGGTGCAGGCGGGGTGCAGGTGGGGTGCAGGTGGGGTGCAGGCAGGGTGCAGGTGGGATGCAGGCAGGGTGCAGGTGGGATGCAGGTGGGATGCAGGTGGGCTGCCCTCAGCTCGAGAAACCTGTTAGATTTATAAATCCAAAATGGAACAGTGTGTTTTTCCAACCGTTACCCAGGGTGTGCTTCTGCTGTGGATATTCCACTTCCTGCATTCCCTGTTGCAGAAGACCTCATTAAAATGCAGGTTTCTACTCCATCCTCCATCCTGTTCTCTCCCAGCAACAGGAGTTAATTTTGTCCATCTGCAGTGCAATCATAGGGCCCGATGTGCAGAGATCTCTCTGCTGTGTGCTGGCAGAGCCCCGGTTCCATGTGCCTGACCTCGCACCCCCTGCTCCCACAGAACCACAGAATGCTTTGGGTTGGAGGGGACCTTTGGGCCCACCTCGCCCTGCTCCTGCTTGGTTTTGGCGGGCGCCATTAAAAACAAAAAAAAAGGGAATTGTCCGTGTGAGATCCTAATTAATTAGTACTCATCAGGAGCTTCTGCAAGAGCTGTCAGTGGCAAAGCGGGGCAAGGCACTGAGAAACTCTCACTAGGAAATCTGCAGATCAGTCCCTGTGGTTCATGAAATATGCAGTGCTCTGCTGCTGGGGAGGGGGTGGGAAAGCCAGAGCTGAAGGGAGGTGGAGGGAGGGGCTGCTGGGGGCTCCAGTGCTGCTGGAAGCGTTGGGCAGCGAGCTGAGGGTGGAGCAGCACGCCGGGTTGTGAAGTTGTCACCAGCAGCAATGCTCAGTCACAGGCAGGTCGCTTCTGAGTGCAAACAAGGCTCAATTCCTATCCCTGAAAGCTGTTTTTAAAACCATTCATCTATTTAAATCTGAGCATAAGGACAGTGGTCAGCACTGCACATCTGCCCAGGGGGTGGGGGATCACCGTCCCTGGGGGTGTTCCTGAGCCGTGGGGATGTGGCACTGAGGGATGTGGGCAGTGGGCATGGGGGGGTGGGCTGGGGAAGCTGAGAGGGCTTCTCCAACCTGAGCGGTTCTATGATTCTGTGACTTTACGCCAGTTAACAAACACAAAAACTTTCTGGTGTTACTTTTACAAAGCTGCTTCTCAGCAGAGAAACTCATTTCAGTATTGAAACGAGTGGCTGTCAGCTGTGGCACTTTGTGAAGGAGAAGGAATGGGATGGGGAAGCCAAGGAACAGACTTGTTCTTCCCAAATCAGAGCTGGCAAGGCGGTGCTGGGAGACGTATCATAGGGCAGGAGACACAGCACAGGCTGGAGCTGCTGCTGGAAGGAAGCACTCAGAGACTCCTTTAAGCTTTAAATGATGATTAAAAATCTGGGCTAAAGAAGCTGGCAGTGAAATAATTATTTAGTCTCCTGCCTGCCTAATGTGAGGAGCAAGCTGCAGAGTGCTGATGCTGTTTTGGTAGAACAGCTTGCCACTGCTTGCCATCGCTCTGCTTCCAGCCATGAAAACAGCGGCTGAGAAACAGCGCTTGTCCAGAGCTGAGCGGGGACACATCACCAGCACTCCTGAGGAAATAACAACTCTCTTCTAAAGCAAAGCATCCCATGTAGAGTTTTATGGCTGCAGAGGGATTACTTCCTACAGCGGTACCTGAGGGATGCCTGCTGAGTTTGTGTTCAACCCATAGGATTTCGAAATGCGCCCTGAGGATATAAGCCACGTTTTATTTGCATTTTGTCTGACAAATGCGGGTCCCTTCTGCTCCTCTTCTGATGAGTTAGATATGAAAAGCGATGTTGAATTAGGAGCCCTGTCCTTATCCCTGTGCGCTAACATCCAATTTCCTGTCAGGGCTCTCAATGATTGCTCTGTGAGCCACGAGGAGCGATCGAGCTGCGGCAGCCGCTGCTGCGTCTGTGCTTTAGTGAGGTTAAAACCGCGTGAGCATTTGCAGGGATCTACATCCACCGTACCTGGAGATGTATTTCAAAGCGAGTGCTGCTTTGAGACACTCAAAGGGCCGGTAAGGGGTGGCGGTGGCCAGAAACACAAGGCAGACTATTGGCGATGTCTGGGGCAAATGGGAAGGCCGTGGTGCTGGGCAGAAATGAGCACTGGGCTTGCTCAGCTGTAATGAGCAAAGGAAGGAGGAATTCTGCTTTGATGCTGTAGGCGGCACGGGGAAGAACAGGTTTGCCCCCGCGCACCTGCGGCAGCCAATGCTGAAGCCCTCCCTCCTGCCATCACCACCAGCCATCATCCAGCAGCTCTGGATTTCGCACTCCTCTGCGGCTGCTGAATGCACAGAAATCACAGGGGGCTCCAGAGAGCGAGCGCTTCCTCGGCTGTCACGTGTGTGAACAAAACGAGCCATTAGAACCGGGTTTAAACGCAGCGCCCAGCTCACAGCCTCCCTCTCGTCCTGCCTGCTGTCAGCGTGGCGCACTTTGCATTCACTGCTCTAAGCAGCCGTTGTTTATTTGATCGTGTTTCCATCTACCTTGTTTGTGTTGTATCAGCTACTGCCAGGCTAAAACACAGAAGGTTTTGTTTTCTTTTAATTGGATCTGGTTTCTGTAGGTAAAATGCAGTGCGTGGAATCTTGACTGAATTAGGCACATATTTTGGAAGCGATTTTCTAAATCTCACCAGTGAAAAATCTAGATGCAAACAAGAGAGGAAGATAAGACCTTCCCTTTGTAAGGCTCTTATG